CTGGTCAGTTGGGTTTTATCGAGCTCCACGTAGCCGGGTACGATTCTACCGAGCCTTATGATGGCTGGGTACGTTTTTAACGAGCCTATTACGGTCGGGTACGATATGATGATGATGATGCCTACAAAGGCGTATGTTTTAAAAGTTTATGTATATATATGTCTGTATCATGCATTTCATGTCAGTAGCCCTCAGAGGTACCCAGATGTTACTGGTTGTATTCTCTATCCTTATTTACATTATTGTTCATATTTATGCTTTCCTGCCTTGCATACTCAGTACTTTGTTCGTACTGACGTCATTTTTATTTGTGGACGCTGCATGTCATGCTGCAAGTCCTGATAGATAGGTAGACACAGCTCCCCCACCACAGTTGGCTGCCCAGTTCAGCGGTTATTGGCGAGATCCCTTCTCTGGACTTGCCGTGATCTTGGTATGCATTTTTGTTATAGACATTATGGGTATGTTGGGGCCCTGTTCCGGCAACGTTGCAGCACTTATGTTCCTTTAAAGGCTCATAGACAGGTGTTGACTCATGTATAGTTTGGTATGCCTTGTCGGCTGATTTTTGTTGTATAGTCTTTCATCGCAGCGTGGTAGCTCGTACCTTATATATAATTTATTGACAGTCTTGTCATCCTATGTTATATATGTTCATGCCTATTATCTTTCATTGTTGGTTGTTCATGATCCATGTCTACCATTTATATTGATCTCGTTGGCCCTTAAAGATAATAAGGAAGGTTAGATAAAATGTACGTTGGTGCTCGGCAAGTATGGACCGGGTGCTAGTCATGACCCTCCGATTTGGGTCATGACACGTAGACTCAATGCCATAAGCTGTTTCGGGCCCTGTCTTATGGATTGATTTGTGTGTCTACAGGTTACGTCCCTTGGGGAAGATTATTTAGAGCCATCGAAATCTGTCCAAATTTAATCTCAATACCCTTTATCGTTGATTCATGTGAGTCCACTCTCTCTTGCATTTTTACAGTGGACCCCATCAGTTGTTGCAGCATTCTGTTTTGTTGATCAGTATTCCCTTTAGTTCAGCAAACCTATCATCTTGTCTCACAATCTGTTGTTGCTAAGGTTGTTGATAATCCAGCTGCTGATTATTGCTGGTTGTAACCCTGTTGTCTTTGGTAAGGCACCACTTGACCCTATGGTCGTATAGATCCAGGATTGTTGCTGTTATTGTACTGTTGTCGTGCTGGTCTATATTGTTGATTCTGTTGTCCCCAATTCTGACCACTTTGCCTCTGTCCCCCATAGTTGGCCACATAGTTCATATCTTCCTGATATTGATGGTTGTCACCTTCCGCACTCCACGAGCAAACATATGGTTGGTTAATGCATGGTGTACATAAGCCCCCATTAGTTGCGTCTACTATGTGTACCTGCTGCTTATGGCCTGATTCATCAATTTTTTTGGTGAGGATACTCATTTGCGTCATTAGAGTGGCAATGCAACTATGGATTTGTTTGGGTCCAAAGCCACTGAATTAACTACAAGAGTGATTATAGTCTCTTGTCATCCATCCTCAATTTTGGGCCATCTTATCAAGTAGGATCTTGCATTCTCTGAATGTTTTGCTCAAAAATGCTCCACCTGCTGAAGCATCAACATTGGCCTTTAAGCCGTCTGCCAGTCCCATGTAGAACCTCTGCCCCAACATCTAATCTGGAATGCCATGATGTGGACACTTAACCAGCATACCCTTGAACCTGTCCCATGTTTCTTGTAGTGATTCTGTTAGTCTCTGCCTGAAGCTCAATATATCATCAATTTGCTTGGCAGTTTTATTGGGTGGGTAGAACTTGTTAAAAAATTTCTTGACTAATTCCTCCCAAGTAGTGATGGAATTTATGGGCAGTGAATTAAGCCAAGTCTGAGCTTCTCCTGTCTGTCACCGAGAATGGAAACAACAACAGCTTTATTGCTTCTTGTGTCACATTAGGTTGCCTTTCCGTGACACATATCGACAGGAAATTCTTCAGATACTGCTGAGGATCTTCAATGTATGACCCTGAGAACAGTCTCTTGTTCTGCAACAAATGTAGCATGTTGTTTGTGATTTGAAATGATTCTGCTTGTATCTGAGGGACAGCAATTGCGGTTGCCAGGTTGTCGGCGGTGGGTTGTGCTCAATCATACAATGCTGCTTCTAGCATAAAAGGCACCACACCCTGATTGTTCGGGTCATTCACATTGTTTCTGTTGTTTGGATTTTCTACTTCGTCTTCCATGTCTGATTCGATTTGTTCTGTTGAGTTCTGTTGTTGTTTGCCTTTCTTGTTTGCATGATTCAGTGCCTTGAAAACTTTCTCAGGATCTGATAATGCTTCGAACAATTCACCAATTCTTGAGGAGTTTCTAGGCATGCACCTGTAACACCCAAGACTGCAAACGTTAGAATTTCAATGTATTTAGTTTAAATTGAAGAAAATTGACTACACTAAGAATTCTAGCACTTCTTTTAGCTGCAATTAATAACATTGTTAATTCTCCGGCAAAGACGCCAAAATTTGATCACACCCAACTATGCCTTGTAAAAAGGCCTTAGTGGTTGTTGCAAATATATTCTGGTTAATAAGTCCGGAGTCGAATCCCCGGGGAATTAACCTATTAAACATACCTACTAAACTCACACAAATTCACGTAATCAATCTTCAAAAATATTTAAGTAACAAATTGGATGCTTACTAACTAAATATTACGTAATGAAAATGCAATAAATAATAACTAACTACCAACTAGTTTTGGACAAGAATTAGAATGATCTAAGGTTGTGATTTCCCCTATTGTCAAAATCCTTTCCGCTAAGTCTTCTATAAATTTGCCTAAGTCTTCTCTACCGATCATGAGCACTCTGACTGTCGTAACTCTCTCCCGAGTAATTACCACAATATATTAGACATATTCTTCCGAATTACGCTAGTTGGCCTTAAGTACAGCTCACTCAGATCGCACCAAGGTTTCGTTATCCCTAATCCCACCTTTAAACCCTTCGTATTGATCCCTCATATACGTTAGGAATGATGTTGTTCAACAACTACCTAAATATGCACTCTCTCCCGAGTAATATATACTAAATAGGCACAATCGATTGAGGGCCCTTCAATCAACAATAATAATACTATAGTTGAACAAATAGAGAAAATACTACGACAAATCTATATTAACGTAACAGAAAAATCATTCTCCAATAGGTACCATCAAAACCCTAGATTAGGAGTTTAGCTACTCATACTCATAGTAACAATATCCCAAGTATTGCATAATTAAAGTACAAAGTAAGAAAGAAAGGATATAGAATTCATTGATTCTAACTCCCAACGGGTGTTCCACGAGCTATTCTTGCCTCCGGTTACAAAAGTCCTTCAAAAGTGGCGTTTTAGGTCTATTTATATGTGTGAGAAAATACCTAAATGCGTAGGCCAAGTTCTACTCAAACCAGGAGATGAATAAGTCTTCAAATCTCGGAATGTGCACGCCCAGACCTGGCCTCACGAGGTATAACACCAGCTTAGCTCGCCCCAAGACTGGCATCGCGAGGTATAACGCCTGCTTGAGCTCGCCTTCTGCCTCGCCTCACCAGCTTCACCGCCTGGTGGACCTCGCCCCTGGCATCGCGTCGCCTCGCCAGCTCCCACGCGAGCTAAAGAGCTCGGCCAGCCTGCTCTAGGCCTGGCTTCGCCAACTTTTCATTTGTCAACTGCTCACTTCTTTCTTTCTTCCTTTCAACTATTTTTTAGCACGCTTTAGACTTTAATTATTCCTTTTACTCTACTTTCATCTCCAATTCACCTACACATAAAATAGACTCCTTTACGCGCAAATAAAGTGTAATTTATCATTAAAGCATATAAAATGCAAGGCAAATAATGTACGAAACTATGGAATTCTAGTCACACATAAATGCCCAGGAATTTGTGCTTTTTTGTAACTCATTAAGTGAAGATTCTATTTTGGAGTGTTTCTAGAGGAGATTGTCGTTTCTTGTTAAAAAAGATTCCTAATAATTATCTGGTTTGGGTTCAAAGTCAAGCAAATTTAGTTGCTCATTGCTTGTCAAGAGAAACTAAAAACTATGTTAGTCCTTTCTATAGGAGTATGCTCCTAGTTTTATTATAGGCGAAATACATAAAGCGCCCCTCCAAGTTGTCCACAACGGTCAGTTGAACACCTTAACTTGCCATATGACCAGTCAGACACCTCTATTTGATAGAAGTATTTTCTCTTAAACCCCTTCCGCTGACATGGCAAATTTTGTGTGTTACACCTACATCTAAGCGCGTGAAGATCTTGAAAATTAGGTTTATCTTTTTTTTTCATAATTCAATGTGGACCCCACCATCTCCTCCAATTTCCTCCATCTTTTGCGTTGCCCCAATTATCTAAAGTAACTAAAACTTAACAATTATTATTTCAAGCAAATGACCAACCTTGGTGAAAATTGTTGGTTGCAGATTGGAGTTGAGAGAGGGTAAAAAGTTTCCATTGAGGTTTGAAATAGCTCAAACCATTATTAAGAATGGGATTTGGCATGACACTGCTGCTACTTGTCTCTCTCATGCTTCTGCTGAATCTTTTGGACAGTTTCAAAGAACTAATTAGAGGATCTTTGGCAAAGTCTCCTTTCGATTTACTTCTAAATAGCTCGAAAAAACCGGTCCATCGAGAAGCAGATGTTTGAATTTTCGGGCCATGTCCGCTTCGTTTGATAGATAAATGAGGAAATCAAGAAATTCTACGGTTAGTTATTTGGAAGAAACCCACTTGCTGATTGCTTCTTAAATTGATGTTAAAACATTTACATAACTCTAATTGGACAGATTATTGATGGGAATTGGTTCTTAATTATCAATTTGTTGGTTTTGATCTATTATTTTTTCGTTGTATGCATTATTCTGGGATAATTTGGTGGATTTCAGTAGAAGGGATTGGCTGAAGAAGATGAAGGAGAGGGGGTGCGGGGAGGGTGGGAGGGGAAAGGGGGGAGCACTGGTTTAGGAAAATAAGGTTTTTTTTAAATGTATTTTTTTTTAATTAATTACATGTGTCAAATGGTGAAATTACACATGTCATTTTTTGATTGGTTCATTTGTCATGTCATCAGCAAGTGCAACTCACGCATATGGCCTGCTGTACACGGGTGTTTATTTGACCTACTTAATAGCCACTTGAAGTGTTTAACTGGAAATAGTCTCGATTGAGGTGTTCAACTGACCGTTGTGAACAACTTGGAGGGGCCGTTTATGTATTTCGCCTTTATTATAAGCATGTTGGTTGCTTTTTATGATAGGCGTTTGTTTGTGGAATTATTTTTCCCTCAAGCTCAACCTTCCTTTTTAAGTCGTTATCTTCATCTGTATAGTGAGTGAATCTTAATATTTTTGCTAAAAGAATTCAAAAACTACAATTGTCCAAGTACAATTTAATTGGACTTCACAAATTCCTTTCAATTATATTTTTAATAGTAAAGTATTTAAAACACCATGTTCAGATCATCAGATGTAACCAAAACTCCAATAATTTATCCTTGATTTTGTCTGTTGACAAATTAGAACGTGAACGGAAATGGAAATGATCAGACATTTTCTCTTTGATCAAGAGGTGATCAGGTCGGATGAAAATGATATAAGTAGGGCTAAATGGGTCGTATGTCTGAACTGTCAACAGCTGGTTTTAGCAAATACTATAAGCCATTGCATTTTCTTTAAAATGCAGCATGTGCTAATTCATTTTTTGACTTTCACGCCTTAATTGGTGGGTCAAATAGATGTGACCCTTCTAGTTTAATACTAATTTCTTTCTTGTTTACTTTTTGCTAAAAGATTAATATCTACCTTAAAAAAAATTACTACTAGTTTTTTGGTGTACGTTTGGAGCATCATCAAACTAATAAGATGACCTTTGACCTTAGGAAAATAATTAGTCACTTACAAACTGTAGAACTGATAACAGAGTGTTGAAGATCATATTAATTTTCTAGGCAAAAAACGTGACCAACAGTTCATTTAAAATAGTGAAGAATGCCCCATTAAGCAGCATATTCCCGAGTTGGATTAGGTCAACTTCAACATCATCACTTTGTATTCACATTATAACGAAAACGACATGTTACTTGCAAGCTAAAGTTGCCCTAAAAGTAGTAAACAATCCAACAAAGCATTCTTTTTGCTTTAATAGAATGATCCAAATTCCTATCTTTTGAAGAAAAGTAGAACACAAGCCAAAGATCAAAATGGTTGCAGTATTCAACAAAGATCTTTTGAGTTGGTACCTCATTACCCTCAAACTCAAAGAAACAGTTGATGCTGGTCTTCAAAATGCTCCTACTCCTACCACCAGCAGAGCCATTGAATTTCCAGAACTGCCCCTACAACAACAACAGCAACTACCCCTGTTGCATAAAGAACAACATCAGCCATCTGAGCCTTTGAAAGTCACAATTGAGGAAAATGCACCTGTTGTGGACGAGGGTCCTAAATCACCAGAATCGGAATGGGTAATTAGCATTAAGGAGAAATTAGAACAAGCTAAACAGGATAATGATGCTGGATCATGGGCTAAACTATCAATATACAGAGTCCCCTTAAGCTTGCGCAAAGATGATGATAAAGCTTACATTCCTCAAATTGTTTCTCTTGGTCCTTATCACCATGGCAAAAGACGCCTACGCAATATGGATCGTCATAAATGGCGAGCCGTTTACCATATCCTCAAGCGGACAAATCAAGAAATTAAACTGTATTTTGATGCAGTAAGAGAACTAGAAGAGAAAGCACGCGCTTGTTATGAAGGGAATATTACAATGAGCAGCAATGAGTTTGTTGAAATGATGGTTCTTGACACTTGTTTTGTTCTTGAGCTGTTTCGTGGAGTTGCTGGTGGATTCACGCATTTTGGTTATGCCAGGAATGATCCGATTTTCGCCATGCGCGGATCGATGCATTCCATACAGAGAGATATGATCATGATTGAGAATCAAATTCCATTATTTATACTTGATCGGTTGTATGGGATTCAATCTGAAATGCCTGATGAGAAAGGTGTTGTAGCAAGGTTAGCTCTAAGGTTCTTTGATCCATTGATGCCAACTGATGAGCCATTGACACAGAGTGACTTGAATAAATTCAAGTCATCAATCGGACGTTCTGCTTCTTTTGATCCTTTGGGAGACCTTGGTGGACTTCATTGCCTTGATGTTTTCAGGTAAATGTGACAAATGTGCGGGATAGATCAAAATAGGTTAATTCAATAAACGGGTCAAATTTTGTTTGGGTCAAGTAACGGATCACAATCCATTTTCCACCCAACCTCTTCTCTTTTTCTTTTCTTTGCCTTTTCGAAAAAAAAATATAAGAACAAATATATTTTTCTTAAGTTTTACATATATTACATAATTTTCAATCTCCCAATTTGATTTTGTAAGTTTTGGATTGGACTACATTTGAGCCGTTACTACTCAATATTTTGATGATGGTCGTTTCGGGTTCAATCCGTTTAGGTCAACACACAGGTCATAACCAACCGGTTTAAACTTGAACTGGTTGGGCTGGAACAATGAGCTGATTTTGGCACCTCCATTTTCAGGAGGAGCCTTTTGCAGACAGGGCCTAAGCCAACACCCAGGACGTGGATCAAGCGTTGGTCGCATTCGAATCGGGTGGCAGACAAACGGAGGCAGCAATTGATTCATTGTGTTTCAGAGCTGAAAGACGCTGGAGTTAAGTTCAAGAAAAGGAAGACTGATCGGTTCTGGGATGTAAAATTTCAGAATGGAATCCTTAAAATGCCTCGGCTTTTAATCCATGATGGTACAAAGTCACTTTTCCTCAACCTGATTGCTTTCGAGCAGTGCCATCTTGACTGCACCAATGACATAACTTCGTACGTAATCTTCTTGGACAACTTGATTGATTCGCCAGAGGATGTTAGTTACCTCCATTATTGTGGAATAATTGAGCATTGGCTTGGTAATGACGCGGAAGTTGCTGACCTCTTCAATCGGCTTTGTCAAGAGGTTGTTTTCGACATCAATGACAGTTACCTTTCACAGTTATCTGACCAAATTAACAGGTACTATGACCATAGGTGGAATGCTTGGCGTGCTACTTTAAGGCACAAGTATTTCAACAACCCATGGGCAATTATCTCCTTCATTGCTGCTGTTATTTTGATAATGTTCACCTTTGCACAGACGTTTTATGGAGTCTATGGCTACTACAGGCCACCTCAATAGTTATTCTTCAAACTGATTTTTGCTATTAATGGACAACAGCTAATATACATTGTATATGCCAATACGCTGGGCACAACCGCCGGTATTTGGATTATTATTTTCTTTTTTGGTGCTTAAACACTTGGCTGGTCGATGGAAAACCAGAAAAGTTCTTTCTGTTTTTTCTCTCTTTTTTTTTTTTTTTGGTGTGCCAGGCAGACCGTGCTCTAAATACAAATTGGTGTGCACTTGTAATCGTGAAGATTCAAATGGTTTCTGCCATTCTTAAACTTTTTAGAAACTTACATCTGGAACATTGTCGATCTCAATGATTCACTGTTTACTAACTACAGTTAAATGTTTGTTTGCTTCAAAAGAGAAGCTTCTGGCACAGAAGAAGCCTGCAGACAACTAACAAAAGCATTGAGCAAAGGTACTGTATGACAGTGGTCCTTGTAAGGCATAATTTGCAGAAAGCTACACACATGGAAGTTTAAGATTTCAATACATATGAACAATGCCCAGAAGCAAAGCAACGACCGTCGCCTCGGCGCTAATTCCCCTAACAGTTTCTTCCACGTCCAGTAATATCCTAGAAAATCTTTGGCTATTGAAGCAGAAAAGAAAGATAACTGGCAGCTGCATGATGCATTCCATAGAATAAGCAGCTGGCGAGGACCTGTATGTTTCAGTCTAAGGGAGAAGATCTTCACTTTCTGATGAAACTGCTTTCTTGACATCATACCGCTGAAAGGGTGGAGGGAACAGGGATGAAAACACAATTCTCAGTCACTAAGGATAATTATGAACACAAAGACGAAATCAAGAGAAATTTACTTAGATATAAAAGGTTTAACCTGCTTCCCAAAAGAGAACGGCACGTATTTATATTTTATCATGTGTCGTATTTGTCTTCTCATTGTAAGTGTGAACAGCACGATCCAATAGAAAAGGAGAATTGGCCAAAAGACAGGCACATCAAATGCACTGAAGAAGGTTAACGCGAAGGCAATGCAGAAAGCCTTGGTAATTGAGTACCTTCACGCAGGAAAACAGAAAAACCAATGCCCACAAAAATCATTGTGAAATTAGAGATGCTTTATGTGCTGCTTATACAGGCTATGGTATAAAATTTATTTTGACATGGATGACAATGGACATGCCTGACTGAATATTACAATTCTCAAATTAGCATAGCTCAGCGGCAGGGAAAAAGAACAAAACGTCGAACAAAGGGACTGTATTTATTGATTTCTGCAGCAACGAAACACGAAAATACTCATTGAGACATAGATACACACTATTTCTGTACAATCTCCCACTTTGATGGACCATACAAACTACAAAAGTCAGTGAAAGGTTCAGGTCAACAGTACGACACCTGTTGCAAGCACGACAGTGATAAATAACAATCATTCAGCAACTCCAGTCAAAATTGGGCAGGTCTATCCCATTCTATGTAAACTCACATATGTACATCAGGTTCCAAATAACCTATGGCCAGACACAAGAAATATGTGAAATGCTAATAAATGCTTGCAAATTTATCTGGTTTATACATAATAGATAGAGAGACAAGACCATAGTTCCCAAATATATACCATCACTGACTATAAAAATATCAGAGCAATGGACGGCTGCTCCATTTCTCTGGTTGGAGCTTTCAGTTTTACCATGATCCTGCACTACACATGCAGATTTATTATGTCATGCACGCATAAAGTGTAACATAGCTTTATTTTGTTGTATGCGTCGAGAGAGAGAAGGGGAGAAGGGAGGGGGTTCTAATTTGATTCCAATTATCACTTAGACAAAAACAAAATAAAATTGTAACTTAGCCACACCTATGTACGTGTTGAAGAGAGAGAGAGAGCGAGGACTACTTCTGCTAGCTCCAACATCAGTAGTCCTGACTCTTGATAAAGAATGTCAAAATAAGGTTTTAACTATTTTCATGACCTGAGATAAAAAATTTCACATAATATGTCTCGCAATTTCTTGCAAACTGTTATTCATAACTATACTAATCTTGCAGCCTATATCTAGTTGACAACCATCTAAAGTTGGAAAGAACAATTTTTGCAACTGAAACTTACTTTCGAGGAGCATTTCCTACACAATTTTTGCTGCCTATATCTAGCTCAAGAGACATAACCATCTACAGTTGGAAAGAACAATTTTTGCAACTGAAACTTACTATCGAGGAGCATTTCCTACTTAAAAGGTCCACATCATAAAAGTACTGCACCCCATATGAGTATCAACTCCCAGGTATTAAGCAACACAACCATATCACAATGCTCACTTCAAAATCACCAGATATATAAGTAACTAGTTTCTACGTACATGCTTGCACGTAAATTCTTAGTTAATTATTTATATGAAAGAATAATGAATTAAATTTATTAATAATTAAAAGAATCATTTAAAGAAATTGGCATGGAAAAAATACATGAATTTTTAATTGCTGAAAATTATTGGCTACAAATAGGATCGGTCGAGAAATTAGTTAGTATATATAATATACAAATATGCATTGTGGTTGCATGTGTATGCCGAGTCATGTAGTCTATGATTATATAAAATAATATTAATATGTTTTAAAAAAAGTTTTTGAATAATAATTATACAACAACAACAACTACCCATTAAAATACCACAAAGTGGGGTCTGGGGAGGGTAATGTGTACGCAGACCTTACCCCTACCCCGATAGGGCAGAGAGGTTGTTTCCGATAGACCCTCGGCTCAGAAAGACGGAAATAAAAAACAAGAAAAGACAATTCATTAGTAACTCCAGTAGAAACCGTAATAGTAACAGAAGCATAACAACCAAAAGATAAATGACATGCAATAATAGTAACCAGTATCTAAGGCCCGGGGCTAAGATAAACAGCAAGGATAGCGTGGACTCAACATAAACTGCAAACCATCTAAGATCAACCCTAATCCAACCCCGCCTCACCCCGGGTATGAAGTAAGGAAAGCTCTACTACCCCCTAACCTACAACCCTAATGCTTGACCTCCAGACCTTCCTATCAAGGGTCATGTCCTCGGAAAGCTGCAGTCGTACCATGTCCTGTCTGATCACCTCTCCCCAATACTTCTTAGGGCCTCCCTCTACCTCTTCTCGTACCCACCACGGCCAACCACTCACACCTCCTCACCGGAGCATCAAGGCTTCTCCTCCGCATGTGCCCGAACCATCTGAGTCTCGCTTCCCGCATCTTGTCATCCACAGGGGCCACGCCCATCTTCTTCCGAATATCTTCATTCCTAATCTTGTCTATCCTAATGTGCCCGCACATCCACCTCAGCATCCTCATCTCTGCTACCTTCATCCTCTGGATATGGGAGTTCTTAACCGGCCAACACTCTGCCCCATACAACATGGCCGGTCTAACCACAGCTCTATAAAACTTACCTTTGAGTATCGGTGGCACTTTTAAAAAAAAGTACGTTTTCAGCGAATGATTGATATAGATCATCGTACGTGAATACTTGTCTAGGATAATCCATTGACAGAGCACAATTATTTCGCTATGGAAAAAGAATACTAAGAAGAAATACCTATACTTCTTTGTGGTTCTATTCTTTTTATTTATGGACGTCGAGTATATGCATATAGCAAACTAATTAAATACATGAAATTTGGATTTTGTCAGCAAATGGTATTTTTATATTTACAAAGATAACATATTTACTTCTGGTATATGTACAACATCTTTCATACTTAACTTTATAATATCACGATATATTTTATCTTCTGATTTTCATCATCTAAAACTTTAATTACTTTTAAATTTAGATAATTCTTTTATCAGGTTAAATTTGATTAGATAATTTTCGATACAACTTTCATGTTAAAGTATACGCTGACTTTTCAATTGGATTTTCACCAATTCCCTTGATATATTCATAAGAATTTATCATAGTGCATGAATATTTTAGAATCTTTCCCCTTGTTTGCTTTCCTTTAAAAAAAATTCGTATAGTTCTAGATGTTTTTTGGGCATGTTTCATGACTTTTAAATATATTTACGGTTTTGTCAATTTGACTTTTTCATTTGTTCTGTTAATTAAGTTATCCAATAATCTAAAATTGGATCAGAAGAATGAAGATGGCATAATCTTTCTTTAAAAAACTAAATATCAAAGAAAATGTAATCACTTACCTAAAGTTTGTTTTGAAGTTTCGGTTCCAATTAATATCTCTGTCCAGAAAAAGTCACAAAAAAGAGCGAGAAATTGGCCAAATATAGACGAATCTCTTTGTCGGGTGTTCGTTACTTCCAAACCTACCAAACACTTTGCAACAATTCTCCTATATGTGCAAGTAAATGCAACTTGTTAAAGTCTAAACGCTAAGTCGCTAACAAAGGTGGCCATGTGTTCAGCAGTGTAGGTGTTAGTTTTTTTCTCTAAAGGGTTGTGATTGTTAATAAAGGATACGAAGGATATTTGAATTATGGAGAATCAATCAATCGGAATTAGGGGTATGTTAAGTGGAAGCAAAAACTGAAGTGGTGCCGGTTCATTTCAATAGTTCTATACGGACACATCACTTAAGTTTATTTTTGTTTTAATTTCTTTTTGTAATTAGGATATTTGAATTATTATTTAGAAGGGTACTTATGTAGTTTGACTTTTAAGTTTTGGGCTTCCCACTTTTAATATAAACTAGTTTCTCGTCACGTGCGTTGCACGAGTATATTATATCATATAATACATGATAAAATAAAATTAGTATAATTAAATAAATCCTCTATAGATCATTCTTGTAGTTTTGCATACGCCATTTGAAGGATCCAAATTTTTAACTAGCATTATAGGTGTCTTTCCTTGTTCAATGAGGCATAAATATGTCTATTTGGGAGTTGGTAGACACATAAGTACATACATACAGATATATAGAGAGAAAGGAAGAGAATAAGAAACGTAAATAACATAATGGATGGACCATCTGGCTATCATAATCATAATATGCATTTCGTTATTAATTATTTCCTAATCATAATATGCATGCAAGATCCATTATATTTTTGAGATTATGACCATCTATACTATAAATATTGGACTTCATAAATCATAAAGGACAAATAATTAAAGAATGAGTAGACTGTAAAGAATACAGAACCATTGCCACTTCGCTCTTAATTAAGTTTTTGTGTTGTGTCTTGGCCA